CTTTTTAAGGCAGTAATATAAGAAATCATAATGTAACAAACAAGGTTATTTGTCATCAACTACATGAATGTCACGTCACTTCGGTAACGTTCATTTCACATATTATTGGAGAGTCCCCTCCACCTCAGTTCATTGCCATTCTTTTGTGCTGTTTCGCTGAAATTGACACCGGTCGTAGCCTAGTTACTTCTACCTGTGTGCAAGGGTACAGACAAAAAAAAGATAAGAGTCAGGTGTATTTTGCTATGATCTAACAAATGCTCGTGTTTGGCCATTGAAACTTAACATAAATCTATTCCGAATATATCCATCGACATTTTGTTAACAATTTCATTTAGTATGTTGCAACATCGTTTTTCAAAACACAAACATACGTGCTTTTCAGCAGATCTGGAAAAAAAATAACCCAAAATGCAATGATTCAAACAAAACTGAGTATTGTGTGCCTTTCAGTATTTGAAATGTACGTGACCGTCTTGTGTTCTGGGTTTAGGCCTATTTGTTTCTTTTTTTACCAATTATAAGCCTATGCATACCTTGTTTTAAATTATCAACAAGAATTAAAACAATATTGACGAAAAGTCGCATATTAAAAGTAAACAAACTGCAAAAAGGTTGCCAAAGATGAATTTAAGACACTTAGAAATAAATTTTTTAGCATGTGGTAACAGTCTATTTACGAGGATTAGGGGTGCATTTAGATGGATTTATGTGGCCAGTTGTCATATGGATTGTAAAGATAATTTTGTTTCGCTCGTGTAAACGCAATTCATTGACTAAATTAAAAAAAAATGTCAGTTAGAAATACGCAAAATGTACGTTACCATACGTAACGTACACATTTCAAATATAAAAATCAATTCTTTTCCACAAGCGTACGTTAGACACGCAATATATTGATACTATTTGAACTTGCATATCATGAGAAATGCATCATACAGGTTCCGTATTCAGAAATATATACCAGGAATCAATATTATATTACATATAATTGACCTTAATATATTTTTTTTCCTCAGCAGAAACGTTTCTTTTCCTTTAATTTTGGGATTTAGCCGACCTCCAACCTTTGAAACTTTCCTTTGTGTACACATTCGAGTGTGTGAAAGTATGAGAATACATGAAAATTCACTTAATTCGAATTTCATGGTAACGTACATTTCAGTCACGTACATTTCAAATGATCACTTTTCATGTAAAAAATAATTTTTAATTGTGTTTAGCAAACCGTCTTTGCCAGTTTACAGGATACAAGGGGTTACTTATTCAGAGTCGTCTCATATTTTCTACTTAATATATATTCCTAATGGAAGAATATAGGTAACGTACATTTCTTTCTTATCTCTACGATTGAAAATGTCTTTAATTCCGTAAATATATTGATAAAAGTTGCTTAAATTGTTCAATTTCATGTTACATTATCTAAGTAGGAGTAATTAATCTATTGAAATTTCAAACTTAGCCCATCAATAAATAAAGGAGAACAAAACTATCAGGTGTATAATCTTTGTGTTTGCTTGTAATGTGGTTGAAATAGAATTAAGCGACAGGGACATTGCACAATAAAAATTATTCATTATCACAAAGAAAATGTATTTATTGTTATGAAAAGAAAAATATATGATACAAGGTTTAACTTATCAGAAAATTTTTACTTAAGAATCAAAACTATATATTACACAGAGGGGATTCAGAATAATATTTGCCTCGGCGACAGTAACGTACATTTCAAATGGGCTACTATATTTGAATTTGGAACTCCTTAAATACCCTTTCAGATCGATAATTATATGAATTCTTATTCGCTGTTATATGACTATTTATAATGTTGATTTAGAAATTACATCAGTGGTTTTTCTTTTAAATGAAAATGAGGCGACATTATTTGAGCCCTTATATTGAGAATGGGTGTTAATTACTTTTAATATCCTTTCATACTGAAATCTTTATTTAAACAAGTATTTTAAAGATAAATTCATATATCTGTATTCCATTCATTTTTTTAAAAATATCAACACAATTAGCACACCTGGGCTGACATGACAATTATTGAAACAAAAAAGGATATAAAAAGGCATTTACATCCAATTTCTTTAATCAAAAAAGTAGTAAGGTTACACTTGAGAAAGTAATGGTATTAATCTAGCCGAAACATCTTCAAAAATTATTAAAGTTTGGAGGTGTTTTTTTTTTTTACCTACTTGGACTGTGTTATTTGTGTACTAGTACAGTCAATTTAAAATACTTTTTTCAGGGAAGAGGGGGAGGGACATTTTGAAAAATACATGTAGAGACCATTCTATTTACTTGGAAAATATTCTACCAACAGGATAAAGTGAAAACTGGTCTTACTCCCAATATATTTTGTTAAAAAAACTCTGGCTTCAATTAGAAACATTGACCCTCAGCTTATCAAATCTATCTGTTCAATCAAAGAAACTAACTTAGTCTGTTGTTTTTAAGCATTTTTATAACATTACATTCTGTTTTTTTTGGTGCACTGTAAGTAATTTTTTCAGATAAAATATCCGTTTTTTCTTCAAGTTCAACTATGTGTTTTAATCTTCTTTCTGTTTAAAAAACGATCCTGATTTTAATTAGTAAATAATTTACAAGTTAATTTATCCTTGGTCTTGGGCTTATTCTTGCATAATCAATGCAATCAAATGACAGTTTCTCAAGTTAAATCCTCTACCCTGACAGCCTGAGGCATGTTAATTAGCCAGGTGGCTGTGTGGTGCGTTCAAGCGTGAAGTGATTTCCTGTCGTTGTGTATAAACAAAGGGATTATCAGCATGCACTGAATAAACAGAACAGCAAAGGAATTTTGCCTAAACTGGTCATATTTATTAATTTTGGGTTAGGAAATAAGGGCATGGCGCTGGAAAAAAGGGCATGGCGCCGAGAAAAAGGGGCATGGCGCCGCGCCATGCTAGTTTGCTTTAGATTTAACACTATTGTATTGTACATAAATAAGGAGACCAGTGCATGTGGTCCCCTTTGTTGTACATTTTTAAAGAAAGCAGACATAAAAAGTATTATATGAATGCAGAGAGATAAAGCATCAACGATTTTAGACTCGTCTTAACCAACAGACACCTAAAAAGAAAACAAGGGCGAACCAGTGGGTACAGATAAAATGCATATTAACGAGATGCTAGACGTTCACTTAAGAACACGACAAGAGGCCTATGGATCTTATAGGTCATTTGAACATCTTGTAAAACTTTAAAACTTTCATTTCAAATAAGCGGTAATAATTAGCAATAATTAGTAGTGCTCATTGACCACAAAAACCCTCATCCTGAGGTCATACATTTCACAATTTTGATAAAAAGGACCATTGTTCATAAAAAAAAAAAATTGGTTTATACCAAAGAACAGATTTCAAAGCATTAATTCAATTACAGTATTGTCTACAAATGACATGGTACCCATGAGCCAAGGGCCTTGAAATTTATAATTCTGGAAGACACTCCCTTGCTTATCATAACTATATGTAGTTAGTTTAATTAATACCCCCCAGATAGCATGACTATGTTGGGCCAACACTGGTAAAAGGTTGTATGGTTGGAGTTGGGGGAACTACCCGGCTGTAGAACTTCCATGGACAAGTCTCAATTTTCCATGGATTCCAGGCTTTTCCATGGAAATTCCATGAAAAAGCCTGGAAACCCTAGACATAGTCCAGGAAGCATGGACAGAACAGACTGGACTTCCATGTACAGTGTACATGGACAGTACATGTACAACATGGACATCATGAAAAATGGGTGTAAAATTACTGGAAAGCTGGACTTAGAATTTTTAAACACTCTAACTTTAACATAATAATTGAACTTAGAAATTTTACGGGCCGGAAAAGCCTGGACAAATTGTCTTTGAAGACTTAGTCATTTTTCTGCCTTCAGAAGTCAGCTGAAAATTTTCTAAGTCCTAAACATGGCATTTGATGGATTTTTTTTTTAAAATCCATAACCTTTTAAATATTTATTGTATTCAAGTGCGGTTTTTTGCTTTATGAAACTAGGTTTAAAACCAACCCTTTCCAATGAGAATCTTAATGTTTTTGTAATGATGGGATATTAAGTTGGTAAGGTGATTCTGTAAATGGAATGAGATTCATATTGAATCATTAAAAATCAAACACACTTATCCTTATTTGTGTTTAATTTTACTTGCAAGATACAAGTTGGAGAACAGTCTATGCAAACTCAGCAAATTAAAGCAATTAATTAGTACTTCTTTTCCATTATTTAATAATACTAGCAAATGGTACCTTTCAGACGAAAAGCCTATCTCATGTATCTTCCATACTACCGTATAATCCCTATTATGCGCCCCGGGCACTTAGAAAATTGCAAAAAGGGGGCTGTCATTTTGGTATTCTCTTTTTGATATTTAATGTCCTATTTTAACTTCAAAAAATCTTTTGAAAAAAAAAATCAAATACAAGGAACCACTAAAATAATGTCTAATTTTACTTAAAGTGAAGATAATCCACCCATATTATGCTAAATTATTCATTTTCCACTGAGAAATTGGATGATAGACATTAGTTTCATTTTCACTTTCTTCAATTTTCTGATATGATTCTAGATGATTTTCATCACTGTTCAGGGGGCCCTTATTTCCTGACAATTTAAAAAGTCCTAAAGGGGTGCTAATAGGGGTAGGGGCGGTTAATAGGGATTATACTGTAATACAGAAATCAGAATAATATATTTAAAGACAAGGGAAAATAATTTGAGGAAAAAAAAAACTGAAATACTTTTAATAATCTTTATTGAAACGTTTAAGTTCTTTCTTTTTACACCCAAAAAATGCTTTACAATGAGTTCCCCCAAAAATGTACCAATGTTCACTTAAATGGTCTTAGGCTAAGAAAAATAAACCTTCAGATCAAAGAATTTGTATCCCAGATTGATATCTATCACTATCAACTTATGAAGGAGGGGTGCTTGTAATTAATCATTTACAGCATTCAGGTTCAGGTGAGTTATAGATTAAAGTGCCTGACATTATTTTGAATATCTAAAGATTGATTTTTCCTGGCCTAAAAGATATGTTTTCTGTCACTTGGTTTCTACAGCTCAATTCACTGATTGTCCAGCTCAAAATGTTATCTGTGCAGTAGTCATTTCAGTCTCTTTCATGGTGGTTTGGCGGGCTGCTTTACTAACAACAAGAGGCTCTACTATTTTTCCAACTCTGACCTGTCACCACATTCCTGATCATTTCTGAAAGAAATAAAAAAAAATGGTATTGTGTCACTGTGTTGAAGGAATGACTGTTTTGAAAAGAAAAAAGAAAACAATGCAACTTTTTAATTTCAGAATCTAATCCCAGGTCAATCTGCATCATATAGATCTATGTTTATAATTTAATTATATTTGTAACACGTCATTTGATTCGGTAAAAGATTGAATCCATTTTGTATAACATAACTTGCCTACATCCAATCTAATTAAAATTAGATGTTAGATCCGCTCGCATACTTGATACACTAACATCTAACAACATCCCATAGAGGGTCACGTCAAAGGTCAAATTCGGAACACCTCTAGACTTATTAGCTTCGATTATGTCAACAAATATGCGATGATTTTGCCAGCAACAATTTGATTGGTTGATAGATTTTGACCTCTGACGTGACCCTTTATGGGATGTTGTTAGATGTTGGTGTAGCGAGTATGCGAGCGGATCAAACATCTAATTTTAATTAGATTGTGCCTACATCACAATGAATTACATCAAAAACGTATTGCTCCGTTTGACGTTACTTTAAAAATATGTTAAATTTCAATTTTAAGGGACAACCCTGTATAATCAGACCTGATCTGAAGTACCTGGATTTCCTTTTTCTCAAGAATTTTTTTGCTTTTAGGAACAGGAACAGAAGAATCTAATTCATGCTATTTTTGCCTTACAGCAACATCACCTGAAATGAATAAAAGAATAGCATACATGTTACACATAAGTATCTACATCACAAATAAAAATGTGTAGTAATTTATGTATTTATGGTCTTAACAATGTCTTCTGCAGAAATTATAGAATACTAAAACAAATATGATACAACAAGAGATTGAACTACATAGATACATGTACCAGATTTACAGCTGCACAAAATCTTGCATTGTCTTGTGATCCTAAAGGTTTATAGCGAGGGCAGCGAGTGTCGCGAAGCGACGCTTTCGCGACGCTCTCGCGACGCTCGTCATTGCGAGCTCTTAAAGCAATGTCTGTGCAAAGAGAAAATTCAACTACTGCACATTCATTCGATAGAAATTTTGATGCAGTAATTTGGATCCACAATGCAACACTTGTATTAGCTATGTTCTCGCGAGAATAACAGCATATGTTAAAAAAAAGTTTTTTCGCCTTGATTTAATGGATATACATTGAAGATAAATAGAAAACGAAATGTTATTCATTAACTTTCAGCACTTTTCAGGCTTTTTCTTGGTATTGCAACTTACATACGACGTCATGTGACGTCAGAGTCTAGACGCACCAAATGTCACCTGCGTTATGGTTGTTTTCCTTTTTCATACTTTGCTAGACTGACAAAAAAATTACCAAGGTCAATTTCTGGATGGAAACTTTCAATGCGAAGAATCAAGTTTTGTTTTCTCCAGAGCAATTTTTTTTTACAAAGATTCTGTGGGGACATCCACAACCCCGTCCTTCTCACACAACATTGACAAGTCCATTTCTGTAAGTAAGAAAATGTTAAAATTACAGAACAATATTTATTTAATACCAAATTAAGTCAATTAAAAACATAATCTAGTTTCCCTTTCAGTGTAACAGGGTTAAGCTTGACTTCTTGGGCCTATGATGCTCAGAAAACAAAAAACATATCCAATGTTTATGTACAAAATCAGAGTTAAATAATTACTCTCCATCAGCTTAAATTATTGGCTAAGCAGAGTGGAATACATCTGCAGGTTGGGACCACTTGCCCAAATTGTTGTCCGATTGTGATACAGTATATATCTCAAGTGCAAGTGGAATATAAATTTACAGTATAAAAAAAGATATTTTTGTTTTGGTTAGAAATATCATAAATCAGCATCAAGACACTAATGAAGGAATAACTTTTGGTTGACATTCTTTTTTTTCTGTATGCCCATTGTAATGTTTATTGTTTAGGAGATTGATCCCTCGACCCTCAGAAGTTCAGTTAACTTCTTGGGGATCGATCTAACAAACTGTAGTTTTGCAGAAAAAAAACTTTCTTTCCAAAAGATATTCCTTTTTAAGTATATTGATGTGGATTTGTGATATTCATTGCTAAAAACTTACCTTAATTGTTGATGATTATGTCGATGCAATCTTCTTCCCGCTAGTTCATTATTCAGTGTTTTTCAAAGGGTGACTGGAAAAACCCGTAACCCCCCGATTTTTGGAGAATACCCATACAGGAGGGGTGAAACCCCAATAAAGTGGTGGAAACCCCAAAAAATTGAACGTAATGGGGTACAATAAGGCCTAAGGTGATGTTTAATTGAATGATATTGACATCTGTAAATTTTTATAGCCAATTTTACCTCAGAATCGACGGAAATCGGGCGCCATTACGAGTTTACCGTACACCACGCCCGATCTAAATTCGAAGCGAGCTGTTTGTCAATATAATTGCATAGATAATAATAAAATAATTCATAATAATTTCCACAATTATATAGTAAAATATTAATTATGTAATAAGTATTTAACAAAAAATGTAAGGACGTTAGTCATTAATGAAATATGAATTTGTGTACTAATTATTCATATCATCTCAATGTAACCAGCTCTAGCCATGTGGAGGCCTCCTTTTTGTAGAGCCATAATTTAAGATGATTTTAGAGAAATTCTGAATTTAGAGATATAAAAATATCCAAAAGTTTCAAAGCAACAATAATAATTTAAAAAAAAAAATAGTAATGGTAATTAATTAATAATTACTTATATGTTAAAAAGAGAGCAAAAAACTAGATAAATTTCAAAATATGAAAATACTTAACTTATTTTTGAGATTTTAGACAAATTCTGAATTTAAAGCAACAATAATAATTTAGAATAAAAATAATAATTACTTATATGTAAAATACAAAGAGAACAAAAAATGAATCATTGTCAAAATATGAAAATACTGAAACCTGGAAAGAAATAGTAAATTAAAAGAATATATCAATTTTCAAATATATAGATATTTTATTTCAAAGTAACCTTTTTCTGTTCTTTTCTTAGAAAAAAAAATCAGATGCTTTAAATATTTCAGTTGTTTACATTTTGAATTGTCTTTATATTAAAACAAATATGAAATAAAGAAAAAAAAAGAAAAGTAAAAAAAAATTACACCACAAAATAAAATAACAGAAGTTTTGATTGAATTTTAACTATGAAAAAATCTTAGTCTGGACTGGTTGAAAGTGAACTGAAAATATTTGATCATCTCGAAGCATAGGTATTTTATGTAATTTTACATTTCATCGCCAGTTGAATCTGTCGACTAAAAATTTCCATTGCCTCTCTGTTCAAACTATAATTCCCATTCTCATGCCAAATGTTTTTATTCAAATATTCTGAGAATTTCCATATTTCCTTTGTAGTGCTTTATTTGTGTCAAAAACCGTAGAATAAATTATTGTACTTTGCTGGATTCATGGTTCCACAATTAAATCATTTGCCTAAACAGACTTCCAATGAATATTTTTTGAACCGAATCTTTTCTTAACAGTTTTTCAAGAATGTTTTGGATTTATTAACACTATTTCTGACACAGAAGATGAATTTATGTCTTTTTCTCCCACTTGCAGAAACACTTTTGTTGGACAAAATTCAACTGCTCTTCCGCGAAAGATTGACTATAAATAAAGCTTTTTGTTGTAGCTAGTATCTTTGTCACTAAAAAATTGAACTCAATATAATTATTTAGCAACGTAAAATTCACACAACCATTTGCTACACTATTCTCTAATTCTAACACATGATTTTGACCAATTACCGCAATTCGTTCTGAATAAGTAATAGATGGAACAGGTGCCTGAGGAGTTGTAGGAATTACTACAGAGGAAGCTCAGAAAAAGTAGGAGTAATTAAGGGAGCTGCTGAAGGACTTGGTATGGGTACAGGTGGAGGAATTGATGAAGCTGCTGTCGGGATTGGTGCTGGATTTGACGGAGCTGATGCAGGACCTTGGATGGGTACAGGGTGCCTTGTAATATGGGGAATAGTTGAGGGAGTCATGCAGTCATTAGATATCAGGGGAAAGCACCCTGTTTAATCCTATACACAGAAGACGAAATTACTGACATTAAAACTTTATGTTGCAGTGGACAGACAATTTTAGGTGTTGACAAAACTTTTAATCTTTGTGACATGCATGTCTTTAAATATCAGCCATCCTTTGCTCAATTATTTATTAAGGTTAGAACTTAGAGTAGGGTTGGTATCAGGCAGTATTCCTCCCCCGCCAGACGGGTTGCTGACCAGTGAATACTGCTTGGTGTTTTGTTAGGTTAGGTTAGGTTAGGTTAGGTTAGGAATATAATTGTTTTTTTAAATGTTGCTAATCAAATTATAAATTCCTTTCTCTAAAATTTTTATAATGTTATTTTATTTTATGTATATTACTTTCATTTGGCTGTAATATTTTTATATTTGAACAAAAGATTGACTAGGAATAATGATACAGTATCTTTAAGTCTTTTAAAAAACTTTTTAATAAAAGTTTTTTTATTTTCTTTTTATCTTTTGGTCATCTTTCGGTCCTTTGGCTTTAATATTTTTCTGTTTCAAAATTCAAATCATGGCTCTACAATTAAGGAGGCCTCCACGTGGGCTAGAGCTGGGAACATAAGGAAACTATGAATATTTTCAGGTATTACTAATTTGAAAGGTCTTTATTTATTAATTTGTCATGAATTATCAAAATTATCAAAATTCATATTTTCCTTATGTGTGTGCTAACGTCCTTTAAAATGAAATTCTGTAAAGCATAACTGTACAATTGAGAATAGTAAAGGTTCAATGTATATACACGTGCCCTTCCAGAGGGGGGTTGGTCAGACTAGCTGGGAACCCAGGTGTTTAAACAAAAGGTGTTTATTATCAAGTTGACCAAGTGTCAACAGCTGTGTATATAGTGCATGTACACACACAGGGGTGCCTGTCTATCCCAGTACAAAACAACAGAGCTAGCTGAGGTGTGAATAATATTCTCACAATAATGTTACAATGCCCACTGTACAAGGATTCACATATGCAACATGCACATTTTTATTATTTTTTATCAGACTTTTTTATTTCATAGACCTGGATTCTAATAATTTCATTGTAATGGATACATGTTGCTTTCTCATATCAATGAGTATATTTTTTTCTATTACCTGCATAAAAAACAAAACAAAAAAAAAAAACCCACTCCCCCCCCCCCCAAAAAAAAAAAAAAAAAACCAAAAACATTAAAACAAAAAATTAGTAACTGGAAAATAATAATGAATGAATACTGAATTTAAAAATTAATTATTAAACATAGAAGAAAACATTTCAAAACAAACACCTTAATTAAAAATTAAATAAATTAACAAATTCATTCATTAGTTAATTTAATTTGAATACATGTTATAAATGATTGGAATTGAGAAAAATTACTTTATTCCTTGATTAATGGACTAGTTAAATTCATTAAAAAAAAAAAAAAAAATATTCAATTAAAAATTTCACTGTAATGTCTTTCATTATGATAATTACATTAACAGATTCAGTCATTAATTAATTTAACTTAATTACATATTATAAATGATTGGAATTTATAAAAATGACTTTATTTCTTGATTAATGGACTAGTTAAACTCTTTAAAAAAATTCAGTTAAACATTGCACTGTAATGTCTTTCAACATGATAAATATTTCATACTTCTTTTATATTCTTAAGGTTTCCTTACAAATAATTTTTTTAAAAATAATATTTTTATTTTTTAAAAATAATAATATACATAATATAATATTCATATTGATCAAGGTTACAGTAATTATTTCCACGGATTACTCGAAACGACTTCAGCGATCGCGAATTTAGATCGGGCGTGGTGTGCAGTATATCAAGAAAAAAAGAAACCCGTCGATTCTGAGGTAAAATTGGCTATAAAAATTTACGGATGTCAATATCATTCAATTAAACATCACTTTAGGCCTTATAGTACCCCATTACATTCAATTTTATGGGGTTTCCACCACTTTATTGGGGTTTCACCCCTCCTGTATGGGTATTCTCCAAAAATCGGGGGGTTTCGGGTTTTTCCAGTTACCGTTTTTCAAACGTTTACGTTTTGGTACATCTGTGTGCAATTTCAAACGTTCATGTGTATCAGATTTCCTTGAGACAACTCGTACATAAACCGATTCGGAAACAAAGTAAGTCAATGTTTTATGTTTTGTGAACAAGTAACAAATATGATAAGTCAGTTCGTACACAAAGCTTTATTTTGTCTATATAAATATTCAAACAATTTTATTTCAATTGTATATACGTTTCACTGTAGAAAAATTCATAATGTAACAATTAAAAAAAATTACACGAATCAGTTAAGCATTGACTGGATTCTTTCTAGTGATCATATAATAGACAAGGTCTCATTGGTCAGAATTTGTATCAACCGATCCAATTGGCCAAAGTTTCCAAACCGCGCCATTTCGAGCAACAGAAGGACGCGTCGTCAGTTGGGAAGACAAATTCGTCAGCATTAACTTTGAGAACGTTAAAGAACTTACTAGAAAACCGATAAAAGATCATCATATAGAAGGGGAATTCATCATTGCAACATTTGGCAAAGCTCGGATGGTACGTATGTATGTCAATAGTGATTAGAAATATTTAGCCTTACAAGTTCTAGACTACGAAGTGCAACATCAGACTAAGTGAAAGTGGAGACGTTATATATTATTTCTCAATATTAAAAGATAGATAAACTAAACTTTATTTTACTTCTGTGTTGATCAATGTGAAAATCGGCCTCCTCTTTCGGTGTATGACGTCACAACATCCGTTTTGAGAGCTACTGTACAGAAATGTTTTTAAACTCAAAAGTTACTAAATTTAATAAAGTTACAATTAACATTGGTAAAAATTGAGTCAGCTGATTTGATATAGTTCTCAGATAAACCATTTTTGTTCAAAAAATACATTTATAATCTATAATTTTTAAATTTTCTGTCGATTGTCATCGAAATTCTGCCCTCTGTGACAATTTTCAATCAAAAATTTTAGTGGTGTCCGTGACTATCATAACAACACACAGGCACCTGACATTACTTATTTTTCTTTTAGTAGAAAAATATACCCATACCTTATTATTATTAGGTATGTAGATATTTTTTTATTTCAAAAAAATAAGTAACATCCCTGGTGCCTGTGTAATAACACTTATTTTTACTTTACAATAAAATTTCAAAAAATGAAAACAAAATGGCGTCCAAAACAAGTTAGGTTGAATTTGAATAGTAAGTGATCAAGTAATCAAAGTGTTCTTTGCAAAATATACAATAAATTGCTATTAATTACACGTCATTGAACTTTAACTGTTAAACGTACCTCTATTGTGTCATAATATAGCTGCAGATCTGTAGCGTTATGGTTTTATATATTTGTCTTTGACCATAACGCTACAGATTCCGAAATGCAGTAAAAGGTGCAATTTATGGTGTATCATTTTTCGCACACTTTGCGGGAGAATTTCTCCACTTTCCAGCATCGGTCAATTAACCACCCTTCACTCCCTATGAATTCTAGGCACATTTTTTAACTAATCTATATATTTTATCCATCTAGACTACCTTATATATCCTTTATAGTCATCTCTACAAGTGATAAACTCGCTTGATTGAAATTATTTGTACTGAAAATTCACTTGAAGCGAATTTCTTGCATACAGAGACAACTTTGAATGGTTGGGAGGTGGCTAAAATATAGATTGGCTACAGAATGTGTCTAGAATTAGGGAGTGAAAGATGGTTGATTAACCAATGCTAGAAAGTGGAGAAATTCTTGTGTGTGTCCATTTGTAAAAAATTTTCGTCACTGTTTTCCCAGCAACTACTAATTGAATGAAGATGCTTGAAATTTTAAAAACGATCTTTTCTGGCCATATGGTGGAATTCTTTTTTGTTCAAATCCGATGTCAAATTCTTGTTGATCTGTCTGTAGCAACAAAACAATAATTTTCATCACAGTTTTCTCAGCAATTACTCGTTACAGATGCTTGAAATCTTAGTACATATTTTGATGAGGCATTTTCTTCTTGCAGACAGGCAACACCACAGCGAAAGAGGAAAGCAAACAAGACTGTTGTTGCTCGAAAGGAAAGGGTATGTAGGCAAATAATTCTAATATTAAAGTCATGATGATGAAAACATACTTTCATATAGAGTAATCGTTTCTGGTTAATTGCAGGTAGATGAAATCTCTCTCGTTATCCTTCAGACAATCTAAATACTTGTTCAACAAGATTTTTGAATACACTTATATTTTTTTTAGAAGCCACAAGTTCTTAAAGAGAAAACATATAAAGGCTACACAAAGGTAAGTTGAATTTCATACCTATGTTTTCATTTCACTTTGAAATAATTAAATTGAATTACTAAAAAGAACAGTACTCTATTGTTTTTTATGCCTCCCCCACCCATTTTTAAGAAGGGAGGGCATATTGCTTTGCTGCTTTCTGTCGGTCTGCCATCAGTTTCCGTTCATTTTCTTCGCAGAGGTTGCACATATCGAAATGAAATTTGGTATACATATTAATCATAAAAATATCTATGTTGTTTTTTGGGGGGTTACGATCAGACCATTCTGGACAGAGTTATGCCCCTTGGACTTGGAAAATTTTGAATAATTTGCTGTTTTTGTTTATTTTCTTTGCAGAGGTAACACATATCAAAATGAAATTTCATATAGAGATTTATCATAAGAATATCTAGGTCAAGTTCTTTTTTTGATAAGTTCAGACGATTTTTGACAGAGTTATATAACCCTTGGACTTCCAATTATTTGGGGGAGGGGGGCACAAGTGTTTACAAACATCTCTTAATTTGTTTTTTTTTTTTTTATTTTTTTTTATGAGAAGTTTAAAAAAATAAACACTTGGATTCTTTCTTTTACCATGAATGCTATTTATTTTCTTTCTGCAGAAATCATGGCTGAGAAGTATTCCGTTGCAGCAGTGCAAGTTCGTGACAAAATTATGGACATACAGAAGCCTTCCCGAAATAGAGACTTCTTTGACAAGTTGTGTACTTCCTTGTGTACTCGCCTGTGGTGATCTCAACAAGTTGTATTATACACATGTAAAGAACAGTTTGTAAGCTCTTAAACCATTGTACAGAATTTGGTAGGTATTTAGGACACATTTTGTTGTTGTTGTTTAAGACAGAAGTGTATAAAAGCATCCTTGTAGGAAATTTGGATGTAATTATTTTTTTTGAGTTATGCTCATGTTGAAATCAAATCATTTTCTGTGTATTTTATGCTGAGAAATATGCTGTTACAGCATAGCAAGTTCGTGATAAAATTAGGGACATACTGAAGCCTTCCTGAAAGTGACTTTTTAGGTCAGTGCACAACCTTGGTGCAAATGTAAATGACCACAAGAAGTTATGTAGTACATGTAAAGAACAGTTTGTAAAATTTAATGTAATGATTTTTAGGAGTAATGCTTATCTTAAAGTCAAATTAATGCATTTAAACCTATTCATTCATTATGTGTAGGATTGTCAAGAAATGGAGGTGGAAGGCTGGGATATAAGCTCACTTTTTATTTCGATAAAACTCAGATTTGGCATATTGATGTTTTGGGGAAAATTATTGTACAGATAATTGAATTTCTTTAAAATTTAAGAATACATGAATACATCACTTACATGTTTTTAGTTTTTTTTATTGATGCAGAAGATTTGTATGATTTTTAGACAATACTGGTATTTATGTACATTGGAACTTTTGTCAAGTAAGGATATTTGCCCGTCACCTCCCGTAGCAGAATGTCAAACAGAATTTGTCATGTACTGATTTCCAGACTAGTTCCATGGACTGTCCATGGAAAAACTGCCAGGGAAATGCCATGGAATATCTAGTCAAATTCATGGACAAGTGTCCATGAATTCCATGGAAAGTGTCCATGAATTCCATGGACAAGTGTCCATGGAAAGTGTCCATGGAATATTTTGCTTTATTGCCATGGACATTTTCTAGTTATTTTCCACCCTTATTTTATCAAATTATTCCCTGGACAAGGAGTCCAAATACTCCAGGTTTTTTCCATGGACACTTTTTTCCATGGATTTTCATGGTATATCCATGGAGTTCCATGGAAGTTCTACAGCCGGGTACGTTGGGCCAACGTTGGACCAATGCTACCATGTCAACCCTCTCGACCATGACAGAATTCCTATGTTGGCCCAACGTTGGTCCAACGTAAGCAATTTCCATTCACTTTACTTTCCAAGGTAGGAAGGATGCTGACGTTGGCCCAGCGTTGGCCCAATGTATATAATACAACCTTAAAGAAAGTGTCTTTTCAAATTGGTAGTTGTATGTTGGCCCAACGTTGGCCCGATGTTTGTAGTACACTCGTAAAGAATGTGTCAAATCAAGTTGGTAGTGGTATGATGGCCCAAGGTTGGCCCAATGTTTGTAATACACCCTTACAGAAAGTGTCTTATCAAGTTGGTAGTAGTATAATGGCCCAACGTTGGCCCAATGATTGTAATACACCCTTAAAGAAAGTGTCTTATCAAGTTGGGAGTAGTATGTTGGCCCAACGTTGGCCCAATGTTTGTAATACACCCTTAAAGAAAATGTCTTATCAAGTTGGTAATAGAATGTTGGCCCAACGTCGGCCCGATATTAGCAAGAGTGTTATTTTGTTTAGGTGTTTTAAAGATGGGATATTTATATTGGGCCAACGTTGGTCCAATTATTATACTGCCAACTAAATGATAGTGTCAATTTTATTATTATCTGCTGAGCTTTACGTTGGGACAAAGTTGGTTCCAAATATAAATTTAGATGCCCATTCTGAAATAATTAAGAGGATATTCTATGTCCATGCTATTCATTGGATGATTGCTTTTGTTTAGATATGATATTTTCAACATTTTAACTTTGATCATAAGTGATCACAGCACCAAAGAGTGTTTTATCCTATTTTTTTTATTGTGTGCATGCATTTTTTTTTTTTGTAATAAAACCCTTAAAATTATGATTTTTTTTCATGAGCGTTGTATTCATGAGAATTTAGAGAAGACTGAATAAATGTTAGTTAAAAGTTCTCAGGAACAGGATGTGAATCCCAGATAGCAGAACATCGTTGTTCCAGTCTTACATTATGTTTGTATTATCGCTGTTGGGTTACCTTTATTAGGCCAATAATGGTCCAACATGGAATATTGATAGTTGGTTTAGAGGTATTGATTTGAGCCAAAAATTCGTAAAAATGTATTTTTTCTCTCATAATAAACGATCAAAACTTTCTGGGTTTTTTTTTTTATCATTTCCATTATCCATTTCAGTGAAATTATTTATGTCAATTTGGTAATATCATCCTAAAGGCCCTCTATGGTTGCTTTTTTCTCTTAATCTTTTTTTATGCAAAAAGAAAAACATTCAATATTTTGAAGTGCAAGTAGGGATTAGATGATTTGCAACAGTAATTTTTTTTAATAATTAATGTCCAGGGAAAAGGTAATGACCTTGACCTGACCTTGTCTCAAGTAGAAAACGGTCTATTTTAATTTCACTGATACCATCATGTAGTGTTATTGTCTTCTTGATTTTATGAAAATTCCATTCATTTTTAAATACAAGAAATATGAGAGAAATCCTACCTTAATGCTACTACAGTGAAACCTGTCTAATCCAACATGCACTGGGAGACAAATTTTGTGTCAGAATAGACAGGGTGTCGGATTGCACAGTGTTAAAAATAAGGAAAAAACTAAAATGGGAAAGAAATTTAACGTTGGAATTCACAGTGTGTCGGATTATTCAGGTGTCAGATTAGACAGTTTTCACTGTACTACATGTTTTGTACAGAGCAAAATAAATAAAAGTAATATTTCTATTAGGATTAAAGATCATTTTTATGGTAGCAAAATTACACTCTTAAATCACAAAAAGTCTCCTTTTAGCATAAATCCTGTTCGTTTTCTTCACATTTCATGTTCACTGTTTTTTATCTCCCCTTTTTCACTTATGCTTTGTTGGGTACAATTGTATGAATCTTATGATGGCGTTCTTTGGAATTAGAAGTATTTTCTTTTGCATATATTTCCTAGGAAGGAACTTGCTAGACTCGTACACTATTATTTAGGGAAATATTTAGTGATTTTCATATCCTTTCGTGTATGTATTCTTACATTGGAAATTCTTTTAAATAGGAACCCTGTAGTTTAATGATTTGCCAACACAATTTCATGGTGCTATAAACGCTTTTATTTTTGAAATCACTTGTGAAAAATTAAGCAATAATTCTTTTTTATTTAGGACGTTAATGACTTCGGATAAGTAACACTTTTGATTGATTTATTTTTCATGAAAGTCTGTTTCAGGAATTCTTTGAAGAATAATAACGTTATTTAATTTTAAGGTATTTCATAACTGAGGGAGGGTAACAAGGAAACAATATTGAGATGTTCATAGAAAATATCGTGCATATTAATAGGAAATAGTTTACTGATGTATATATTAGAGAGTTTGGAGTGATAAAATAAATGAAGTCTCTTTTCGGTGTTTCCTATACAGCATTTTAAATAATCATTAAAAAAATCATGCCCCTATGGGGATTATTATCATCTTTTGTTCTTGTAATAAACTACAGTCATTCAAAATCAGTTCTAACGAATTTTTTTAAAAAGTTATAGCAACAATTTGACAAACTTTATGTTTAATTAAACAACAGCATCAGTGCTTTTCTTAATTACACGTATACTACCTAATAGAAAACATACTGTCTTATATATTTAGGTGTACGAGATTTAAAAGACCATATTTTTCTTTCCTCATCACAATTGTAAACTTGAAATAGTTTTGAAAACTAGCAGGGACTGTATTTTTGGCAGAATGATGGCGTATGAAAATATCTTCTTTTCTGCATCTCAAGTTTTAATTTTTACTCAATAAAGATTTCAAGAACTTTTTCAAATGTAAGTTTAATTTTAAAATAATAAGGGACTAAAATTCCTAAATACAGTATATCAAATAAATATGATTTTTCAAACGAACTAGAACTTTGTTAGGTTTTATAAGCTTCCAATCTGAGTACTGATTTGAGCCAACAATTTGTAAAAATGTATTTTTCTCTCATAATAAACGATCAAAACATTCTGGGTTTTTTTTTTTATCATTTCCATTATCCATTTCAGTGAAATTATTTATGTCAATTTGGTAATATCATCCAATAGGCCCTTTATGGTAGCCTTTTCTCTTAACCTTTTTTATGCAAAAAGAAAAACATTTAATATTTTGAAGTGCAAGTAGGGATCGGATGATTTGCAACAGTATTTTTTTTTATAATTAGTGTCCAGGAAAAAGGTAATGGCATTGATCAGACCTTGTCTCAGATATAAAAGGATCTGATTTAATTTCACTGATACCATCACGTAGTGATATTGTCTTCTTGATTCTATTAAAATTTCATTCATTTTTAAATGCAAGAAATATGAGAGAAAGTCTACCTTAATGCTACTACTACATGTTTTGTACAGAGCAAAATAAATAAAAGTAATATTTCTATTGGGATTAAAGATCATTTTTATGGTAGCAAAATTACACTCTTAAATCACAAAAAGTCTCTTTTTAGCATGAATCCTGTTCGTTTTCTTTACATTTCATGTTCACTGTTTTTATCTCCCCTTTTTCACTTATGCTTTGTTGGGTACAATTGTATGAATCTTATGATGGCGTTCTTTGGAATTAGAAGTATTTTATTTTGCATATATTTCCTAGGAAGGAACTTGCTAGACTCGTACACTATTATTTAGGGAAATATTTAGTGATTTTCATATCCTTTCGTGTATGTATTCTTACATTGGAAATTCTATTACATCGGATCCCTGGAGTTTAAGGATTTGCCCACACAATGTCATGGTGCTATAAACGCTTTTATTTTTGAAATCATTTGTGAAAAATTAAGCAATAATTTTTTTTTAATTTAGGACTTTAATGACTTCGGATAAGTAACACTTTTGATTGATTTATTTTTCATGAAAGTCTGTTCCAGGAATTCTTTGAAGAATAATAACGTTATTTAATTTTAAGGTATTTCATAACTGAGGGAGGGTAACAAGGAAACAGTATTGAGATGTTCATAGAAAATATCGTGCATATTAATAGGAAATAGTTTACTGATGTATATATTAGAGAGTTTGGAGTGATAAAATAAATGAAGTCTCTTTTCGGTGTTTCCTATACAGCATTTTAAATAATCATTAAAAAAATCATGCCCCTATGGGGATTATTATCATCTTTTGTTCTTGTAATAAACTACAGTCATTCAAAATGAGTTCTAATGAATTTTTTAAAAAGTTATAGCAACAATTTGACAAACTTTATGTTTAATTAAACAACAGCATCAGTGCTTTCCTTAATTACACGTATACTACCTAATAGAAAACATACTGCAAGGACATTGCATAAATTGTTGAAAACAGAAAGTCGATTATTCTGATAAAAACCATGTGATAGTTCAAAATCATCTCCATATTCATGATTTTTTAAATATGTATTGTAGTATTTAGAAAAAATAGGAACAGAAATCAGGATTGAAAACATATACTAGAAAAAGAAGAAACTGTGTATACACAATTCAGTAAAGAAAAAAATTTCATTCTTTGATCCTCTATCCTTCCAGGTTTTTTC